GAACAGATGCACACAAAACATAAAATGATAAAAAGAGGAAAAAAAGAATTCAGATCGAACCCTCACACATACATTCACACAACACATAAAAATTCAAAAGAGAAGCACAAAAAATATCAAATAAAAAATCCCTGAAAGAGGAACACATAATCATTCACATATACACATAAACAGAAAACAAAAACTAAAGAAGAAGAAAGGAAAAAAAAGGTGGGTGGGGGATCTAGATTATATTTTTACATACACATTCATTCACAAAGGAAAAATTTTTTTAAAAACCAAAAACCAAACAGACAAACAAAAAAAAAAAACCAAAAACAGCCTGCCCTGTTCTATAATTGTCCCTCTCCGTTGCTCACAGGTAAGTCTCTCTGCTATCTCCTGTGGAGCTGTGGTCTCATTCACAATCTCCCCAGTATCCCAGCTGGGGAAGGAAGAGGTAGAGGTGAGGGTGGGTGGGGCTTTAGTCCTTCCCTCCCACTCTTGTATTTTTAGGGGGATCTCCTCCAGTGGGGAGATATGGGATTTTCTCTTCCCCATGTGTTGGTGGGTGGCACTCCAGCCAGGCTTATCCTGGAGTAGAGTCCTTCTATTGTGGCTGATGTACAGGTCCAGCCTGGGTTCATCCCTCTTAGTCATGGCCCAGTCTTGTGGGTCTGATGTTCAGAGGATTTCAGGGGAGGAAGAGGTCAGGTCAGTCCCAGATTCACTGCTGATCTCTTTGGGGGTCTTTCTCATCCTTTTCTGGTCACACCTTTGTCCCATGGCTGAGTCAGGGTAGGGGATGGGGTGCCTGAGACTCAGCACTCATCCTATCCTTCTGGAGTTTGTGCTTTTGGGAAGTTCCTGTTGGGTCATGATCAACCCCTGAATAGTTAATCTACCGGTCACAGAGATCAGATCTGTCAGTCTGTGGTGAGCAAGCCAGAGCACTTTCCTGCTCAGTTTTCAAGATGGTAGCAGGGTGCCTCTTTCATCCTCTGCCTCTGGCTCCTTTGCTGTGCTCCCTCCACAGCCCTTGCTTCCAGTGTCTGGCCAGGCATTGTAATGGTGAGGCAGAGCCTGGAGCCAGCAGTCACTCTCAGCAGCTTCTTCCCAGGAAGGGCTTTGCTGATTAAAAAAAAACAATGCTTGGCTTCTTTGCCCGGGAAGTGCTGGGGTCCAAGCAGAGCAGCTGCAGCATTAGCCACTTCACCAGGAGAGCCCTGGTCATTTGCTCCCAAGTCCCCAGTCACCCACTCACATTCCTATTTACTCACAGACACATATGCAAAATTTTCCATACACTCACTCACTCACACTGGAACTTGCATAGTCCAACTGGCTCCACTGCCATCTTCCCAGAAATCCCTATTTTTTTATTTTAGTCATTATGACAGGTGGGTAGTGGTATCTCATAATTTTAATTTGTATTCATTAGTGGCCAATGATGAGTATCTTTGCTTTCTTTCACGTCCTTTTGAGATCTGTATGTCCTCTCTGGTGAAATGCCTATTTATAACTGCTCATTTTTTAATGTTGTGTTTTGAGAGTTCTTTATATATTCTAGATATTAGTCCTTTGTTTGATATGCAGTCTGTGAATATTTTCTCCCACTGTGCAGCTTAGCTTTTCATCATTTTAACAGGGTCTTCTGCAGAACAAAAGTGTTTTACTTCTGATGAAGCCTAATTTATCCTTTTATGAATTATACTTGTTTTCAAGTCTAAGAACTCATTACTTAGCTCCTGAACCCAAAAATTTTCTATTTTCTTCTAATTGGCTTATGGTTTTACATTTTCATTTAAGTCTGTGGTATATTTTAAGTTAATTTTTCTATGATGTATGAGACTTAAGTTAGGGTTTACTTTTGCCTATGGATATCTAATTACTCTAGCATCATTTATTAAAAGGCTACCTTTCTTCCTTGGTCAAAAATCAGTTGTGGTGGCTCAGCCTGTAGTCCTGTGTCTTTGGGAGGCTGAGGTGAGTAGATTGGCTGAGCCTGCGGGTTCGAGACCCGCCTGGGCAGCGAGACCTCATCTCTACAATAAATCAAATAATCAGCCGGGCGTGGTAGCGCATGCCTGTAATTCCGGCTACTTGGAAGGCTGAGGCGGAAGGATCGCTGGAGCCCAGCAGATCAAGGCTGCGGTGGCCGGGAGTGGCCACTGCACTCCAGTCTGGGCGACAGAGTGAGTCCAACTCAAAAAAAAAAAAATCAGTTGTGCATATTTGTGTGGGTCTATGTCTGGGTTCTCTGCTCTGTCCTGCAGATCTGTGTCTATTCCTGCACCAATACCACACAGTCTTGATTACTATAGCTATATAATAAATCTCGAAATCAGGTGAACTGATTCCTCCTAGTTCTTCTTTTTCAATATTGTTTATTCTACTTCCTCTGCCTTTCCACATACATTTTTTAATAATCTTGCTTATATTTACAACAAATCTTACTAGGAATTTGATAGGAACTGTGTTAAGCCTGTATGTCAACTTGGGGAAAATTGACATTTGTACTATGTTGAGTTTTCCAATCTATGAACATATGTGTCTCTCCATTTATTTAGATCTTTCTTAATTTTTTTCATCCGAGTTGTATAGTTTTCAGCATACAAGTCCTATATATGTTTTGTTAGATTTGTTATTTTTTGAACAATTACGAATGGTATTACATTTAAAATTTTGGTGTCAACATAGTCATTACTAGAAATACAACTGATTTTTGTATGCTCACCTTGTATCCTATAACCTTGCTGAACTAACTAGTTCTAGGAATTTTAAAAAATAGATCCCTCAGAGTTTTCTATGTAGACAATCACATCATCTGCAAGTAGGAACAATTTTATTTCTTCCTTTCTGATCTTTATGCCTTTTCTTTTACTTGCCTTACTATACTACCTAGAATTTCCAGCACTAAGCTGAATTAAAGTGGTTAATATTGCCTTAGGGGGAAAGCATCTCTCACCACTAAATATAATGTTAGCTATAGGTTTTTGTAGATTATCTTTATTAAGTTGAAGAAGTTCTTTTCTATTCCAGAGTTTTTATTATGAATGGATCTTACATTGCTTTTATGCTCAGAAAGTTCTTTCCTACTAAATAGCCAGTATGTATTCACAAACATGTTTTCTAGTTTTTAAAGTTCCTTTCACCCACCCTTTAACCATGTAGTATATCTGGAATTATTTTGGTACTAAGTATATAGGATCTCACTTCTGCTTCTGGAAGTAATGGAGGTATGGGGACTCCCTGCATTAAACAACTAGGAAAAAAAAAAAAAAAAAACAAGCACAAATTTGTAAATATTGCATAGTGAGCAGTGCAGAGAAATCCCTGAAAGGGAAAAGAGAGCCTAGTGGTCTCAATGAGTTGGGAAAACAAATATTAGAGTTCAGGGAGGCCAAGGCAGCTAGAATTTAAAGGAAAGAATACTGGAAAATACACAGTTTCATGTAGAAAGAACTCTACAGATCTCAAGAAGGACATCTTTATGTTTTAAGCTGAGTACTGATCTGTGCATGTATGGGAAAGAACTACCCAAAGCCATGAAAAGAACTATGGAAAGCACTAGGTTTAAAAATTCCTGAAGCTCACACACAGCTGGAACAGTTCATCTTCCTACAAGATGTGTCAGAGTGTAAAGACTTTGTGGGGTATCAGGTAGAGAAAAGAGTCCTGCCTTACTAGTGGGGTTAAATTAGCCCTAGAATAAAGGCTGCTATAGACCCAACCTAACTACATTGAAAACAAGCCTTGAAGGGATTCAGCTAATTTCTGGTAACTTAACTGTTTGTCAAAACATAGTCAACTGATTTTCAACCAACATGCTAAGATAATTAAATATAATAAAAGGAACCAAACAGTCTTGACACTTCACACCAGCTATAAAAGTTAATGCAAAATAGATCAGAGGCCTAAACAGCTAAAACCATAACATTTTTAGAAGAAAACATAGGAGTTAGGCAAACCCTGGTTAGGCAAAGTTTTTTAAACACAAAAAAATGTAAAGCAAAAAAGAAAAATAATAAATTGGGCCTCATCAAAATTTAAAACTTCTGGTCTTTGAAAGATGCTGCTAAGAAAATAAAAAGGCAAGCCACAGGTTAGGAGAAAATATTTGCAAAATACATAACTGATATAAAAACTTGTATCCACAATATATAAACAACTCTTGAAACTCGATAAGAACAACATCAATCTGATTTTAAAACTGGCAAACAATTTGGACACTTTGAAGATTACAGGTGGGATATAAGCACGTGAAAAAATGCTCAATATCATTAGTCACTGGGGAAATGCAATTAAAGTTGCAACTGAAATATCACTAGTATGGCAAAAATTAAAGACTGACAATACTAAGCACTGACAAGGATGTGGAGTAACTGCAATTGTCATACACTGCTAATGGGAAGGCAATGGTAGAGTCACTTTTGAAACCAAGTTGACAACTATAATAAAGTTAAACATATAATTACCATAACACCTAGAAATCTCGCTCCTAGGTATAGACCCCCCAAAATACAAATATATGTTCAACAAAGACTTGAATGTTAAGATGCATAGCAGCTTGAGTCATAATAGGTCAAAGCTAGAAACAACCCAATCTCCTCAACTAGTGAATGGATAAACAAATTACAGTATTTGCATATGACAGGCTACTACGAAGCAATAAAAATCAAAGACACCAAACATTAAAGTGCATATGCAGTATGATCTACTTATACAGAAAAGGTAAAACTATAGGGACAGAAGGCAATTCAGTTGTATCCAGGGGCAAGAGGAGGGGATTAGCTGTAAAAAAGAGGGAACTTTCTAGGACGATGGAAATGTTCTATATGAAGATTATGGTGTGATTACACAAAGCCTATACATCTGTCAAAACATCCAACTGTACATTTAAAATTGGTGTGTATGATTGTATATATAATATACCTCAGCAATAAAGCTGATTTTTAAAAAAATGTAAGATGCCTTTTCTGGGTTGACAGCTAACAAGGAAATGGGAAGACATTGTTTACCTTCCCAGTCCTCCATGTAAGGGGCCTCCTCAGCTTCTTTTTCTGGAGAGGGTCTGTCAATGAATTTTCCTTCTTTCATTACTCTGGTGATTTCTCGGAGCTGATGTAGCAACCGTTTCTCTTGGTCAGAAGTCACAGTTTGTGCTCTGCTTAAAAATATCAGACAATTCAGTCATTTAGTGGTAAATACTCCTACGTAATAGACATGAACATCACTATGATCTGTCTGGATCCTGAAACAGGAAGTCCAATAGCAGCAGATAATTACTCTAGGAATTGATCCTCGAACTGCATAGCTGGGAACTATAGATGTTAGTTCGATGTTCTGATTTTATAAATGGGAAAACTAAAGCCCAGAACAGATCAAATGATGCTCCAAGGCCCCACAATGAATTAATGCCAATACTGGGAACAGACTCCAGATGACTCAACTTTCAGTTCAGTGTTTTTTCAGTATAACTCACTGCCTTCATTCTCTAATCTCCTAGCAATTTCACTGTTACTCACATTACTTCATCTACTACAAGCCACTTTTCTCTGCAGCAAGGTCATCCAAAGGAAATGTTCTGGGGCCATTAGCCTCAACCAGGGAAAAATAAGCTACTAGAATCACCAGGCATAACTTACTTGAGCAGGAATAAGGATCTATTCTAAAATTTCAGAGCTGTGTAACTATGAAAATCCAATATTAGGACAGAAAAGTTGGGGAAACCGAGGTCTACAGAGGAGAAATTATATATGTATTTATACTGCTAGTTAATGCAGCACTATAATCTAAATTATCCTGACTTGTGATAGCACTCTGTGAAATCCTTAAAGCACTGAGCTCAGGGTCCACATTTTAAAAGACTTAGTTTGAACTTCAACTTAGCTATGTGGCTCTGGACAAATATGACATGAGACTCAAGGATAAGGGTATGTTTTTTCTTTTCTTTGAGAAGCACTGTATCACACTAATAGGCAAACAAGGCCCTACTTAGGAGACTAAGAATGATCTGCTTTGAGACCAGTTTTACCTAGTGGTAGGATTTAACAGAGGCTACTCATTTTCTTCTTAAAAACCCAAAGTATTCCAAGATAATATAACACAAAAGAAAAATGATAGACTCTGTACCAGCCTCGTGGAGACACCATCTGTGTTTCAAACCCGTTAGTTCTGAGCCTGAATTCCTTTTTATGCTCAGCCTAAAAAACTTTAGCCTTAATGATTAATAGGGAAAAAGAAAAAAGTGCTTCTCCTTCCAATGTTAAGATGGTAACTGAGGAAAATGAAGACACAACACTTCTGCAGACCTCAGTGGGAGGAAAACAAAAACACCATGAGCTCCATTTCTTCCACACTAAATGGCTTCAAAATTGTAACTAAAGATTTTAGCACATTCAGCTAAAATCCTATATTTACAGGGCCTCTGACAGCTCCATTCTTCCCATCAATGCAAGAGTCCTCACAACAACTGCTCATGTGGCCCCACAAAACCTCCAATTCTTACTATTAAAACAACCCACTTTATTAGAGGCTTCTGGGGCAGAAGAGCCTACCTGCTTATCACAAAGCTCTTGCCTCTTTGGGCTGCACATATTATTTCTCCAGACCATAAGAAGGCATTCTGATCTTTACTGAGTGAAACAGTCTTGATACTCTGGTCTGCTGACTAATGGAAAATGAGAAACCCTTAACTAAAAGCAACGTTAGGGGAAACAGGAACATGTAACAGCTTTCCTAGAGAATTCCTAACAAAGCACCTTCATTTCGCTATCAATAAGTATACTCATATTGTTCATATCATGCATTAAGCAATCAATTATTGTCTACTTTATGACATCTTCAGAATAATTGCAATGAATGTTTTTATGAATTCCTTATTGTCTCAACTTGGTTTGATACTCCCGGAGGGCAGTATCACAACAGTGTAGGCACAGTGTCATGATTATGGTTAAGTTCTCAATAATTATGTGCTAGTTTGATTAGTCCTCATTAACTCACCATTCATTTTCTTGCAACTCTCTGAATTTGGGATTCCATTCCACCATTTTACCAAAACTTACAAAAATCATCAATGACCACTTTACTCCTAAGTCCATGGGTCTTTTTCTCACATTTCATTCTTCTTGACTTTCCTATACTATGGACCATTCTCTCCTTGAAACTTGCTCCTCCCTTAGTTATTGATACATTTGTACTCCTCTTACTTTTTTAAACATTCCTCTTATCTATGATCCTGGCTTACTTACCACCTCCCACCTCCTTAAACATGGTTTTCCCAAGGTTTAATCCTAGGACTCGAATTCCTCTATTCATATGATTATGTCCTCTGGAAGCTGACCCAATAGTACAGATTAAACCACCACCTCTACAGAAAAGATGTCCTAACTCTACCTTTAATCTTGACTTTTCACACAAGGCCCATCACATAATTCCAGTTATTTCCTGGGCACTTCCACTTGGAGGGCTTGTCACTACGTTAAAGTTAACCTTATATTCATCCCTTGAAACCAGGTCTCAGTTGGTCCAGGATTGTGAGCACCTACGTGAACAGGCAGACCAGAAAAGGTTGAAAAGGAAGATTCCAAGATAATAAAAAAAGAAAAGGTTACAGTTGGGAGACAGCTTCACCAGACTTTTGATACTATAAACCCAGAAGAGTTATCAAGTTCTGAATCCAACAGTTAAGTACAGAAAGAATGAAACACACCTTAACAACACCATGCATCGTCAAAACAAATCAGATCAGCACGAGAAAAACTTAGGCTACTGCAGCAGAGTCTGATATGCTTCAGGATTTGGTGATCTCATTTTTCCCTATGGCCTTTATCTCTCACCAAATGACTTCCAAACCTGAGCCCTTTGCTCTAACCTCAAGAATCAAATCTCCTATTGCTGTTGTGTATTATATATGAATGTTCTGATGACATCACAACCATATTCAATGATCCCAATCCCAAAGCCTTATCTTCTTTCCTTCTGTGTTTTATCTTGATTAATGCCATAATCACCTTCCAGTTTGGGCTGTAAATCTCTAATTCATCTTTTTTTCTTTCTTCTTCATTGCTCTTATCTAGTTAGCAGTTTTCCCTTGTGTGGGAACAGGGTTCAGGGAATGACAATCATTGAGAAAATGATGTCTACGTTAAGACCTATAAGATAAGCAAAAGTAAAGATAAGCAAAAGTAAAAATAAGTGTGTATTGCGGGGGCACCCCAGGCAGGAAAAAGTATATGCAAAGTCCTAGAGGCAAAAGGGTACAGGTATTTCAGAGCAACAGCTAGTGGTCAGTGAGGCTGGACCATAAGCAGAGAGAAAGAGTGATGGAGAAAGATGAAGCAATAGAAGAATGCAGGCCAGGTCACTCAGGATCATATAAGCCGTGCTAAAGATTCTGCACTTTTTCAAGATCAAAAGGGACCTGTTGAAGGATTAAAATAAAAGAGATGATCTACCTGGAAAACAGGAAGTGAACTGAAGGGAGGCAAAATTAGAGTAAAAGAAGCTACGTGAAATAGTTATGACCTATGCCAAAAACAAAGGCATTCACTACTCACTCATTCTTTCTTCTACTTCAACTAAAACCTTTTTGGAGCCTATTGTGGGCCTGTGCTAGGCTATGGAAGTAGGAAGGATAATCTCTGCCCTTGTAGAGCTTACAAACTTTTGCAGGAAAACTGACTTATTAGTTAGGTGGAAATGACAAGATATGGTGATTGATGAGATATTGAAATGAAAGAAAAGATGAATGACAAAAGATGTCTAATTTATGCTTTGGCAACTAAGTGGATGGTGGAGTTATCTGCTAAGATGGAAATATTAAAGCTAAATTATGTTCAGTTAGAGAATGAATTCCAATTTGAACAATCATTCATTCATGAGACATTTACCATTTCTTGAGGCTAAGGGCAGACTATCTATGAGATATGTCCAGTGGGGCTCAGAATAGAGGTCAGGAACTGAAGAAAGACTCTGAACAGGGAATGGTCGTGATTTACTCTTCTACCACAAAGGTAATGTACAAATGCTAGTATGAAGAGCGAATATCTATTCTTATACACAAGTACCTATTATTATTATTTACTTACTACCTACTACAAACACAGTGAATAAAACAGACTAAGTCTGTCCTCCAACAGTTTACATTCCAGCAATTCACACTAGAAATTTGTGGTCAAACGCACATGCTCAACACACCTGCCAGGGCTCTCTGCTGCCAGAGGCTGCATCCTCACTGCTTCTCTTAGGCCATACCATCCTTCTAGCAGGTAAATCATTACAACTGGGCATGCTGCTCCAGGAAGGAAATTTTGCTGATCATAAGGACTGAAATGAGGACCCCTCATTTCTGATTCCTAGATCCTTTCTTTGTGTCCTTGGGCTAAATATTGTGCTTAATATCAGACATAACATGGCACAAAACTTACCTTCCAGGAGGTTTCATTATTTAAACATGTATACAGACTCACATCATTCACAGATACAAGCTATCTAAAAAATGTTATTAGACAACATCAAAAATTTTCCCATATTTATATTCCTACATAAGCATTAAGATATAGTTTCAGAAACTATATTTCTCAAATTTTAAGCCAACATCTTACAGTTACAGACTATTTCATAAAAGGACTTAGGAGGCTATAAATGAATGTATCTTCTTTGTCTTAACTCCTCTGCTTGACCTCCCAGGAACCTAGGGAGATGATAAAATTTTGATCTAACAGAAAAAAACCCAAAAAATACTTTGTGTTCTTCTAATAATCATAGAAGCACAAATGTATAAAAGAACAAATGCCACAGAAACCAAGAACATAAACTAAAAGTATAAACAAGAAAACAACGTAGACACATGATGCTATGGCCTTACTACATACATGTTTTCTTAGTTGTTGCCCACTGCCATCAACCTCCTGAAGTCACCTCTGAGATCCTCAGTTAGCCTGGTACAGCAAGAGGAGTGTGTCTTCCCTGTGGAGCCTCTAAAGGGTTAGTTTGGTTTCTGACATCTACTTTACATGTCTAATTCTGTGCTGACACAGTCAACACAAAACACAAATGCCTAACCTGATCATACTTGCTCTCTCATTTTGTCTCAAATAGAAAGCACAATGTTAAATAATCTGGTTTTACTTAAAATTACACCTTTTTAAAGACAGGTAGGAAATTGTCTTTCTTAAATACCTAATCATCTCACCCTCACTCTGAAGGATTTACTCACAAATGTACTCACTCTCACAATAATTTGCACAACACTAAACTCCTGAAAATGGAGGTTGCTTCATAACATGAAAACAGAAATTTTAAATGAGAAAGAATAAGGCGGTGCAGTGGCCCACATCTATAATCCCAGCACTTTGGGAGACTGAGGTGAGAGGACTGCCTGAGCCCATGGGTTCGAGACCAGCCTGGGGAATTTGGTGAGACCTCATCTCTACAGTAAATTAAAAAATTAGCCGGGCATGGTGGCACATGCCTGTAGTTCCGGCTACTTGGAAGGCTGAGGTGGAAGGATCACCTGAGCCCAGCAGTCGAGGCTGCAGTAGCCGTGAGCGTGCCACTGCACTCCAGCCTGGGCAACTGAGTGAGACTTTGACTCAAAAAAATAAATAAATAAATAAATAAAATGAGAAAGAATATGTAAATGACAAATTGACAATTATGTAAAATGAAAATAAGTGGTCCATTTATAAAAGAAAAGCAAAAGTTTGAATTGATTCTCTAAATGGGAAATAGTCTGAGTACTGACAGATGATAACCTACCTTTCACCATTAGGTCCCACTCTGTTGATTAATTTTTCCATGGCTTCCTCTGTCTCCTTCAGTTTTTCTTGCAGTTGAGCAAGCTCAAAATTGGCTGAAAAATAAACATCAGTCTAAGAGCAAATACACAATTCCCTTTTACTGCTAAAGAGACCACAATTTAAAATATATATATTTTTTACTGATGCACTTACCATTACTATCTCATTTAAGAACACAGCAGTCTCTTTAAAAAAATCCTTGAAAATTTAAGATTTCTAAAAAAGACATAAAATATGCCTGAGATACATGCCTGAGATATCTGTTTCCATAGAGAATCCAAAAGTAAATCCAAAAAGCAGTTACCGCCTAGATAAACATGAATTTCCACAATGCTTTCATCAAATCCCTTCTTTCTAAAAGGTGCTTCCTAGGTTTTAAGGTAGTTAACTTTTCACAAGTTATTTTTCCTGACATTCATTCTAGTCTATACATTTTTAGGGGAGTCATGCTGCATACATTTAATTACCCCAGAGAACCCAAAATACTCTAGCTGGGCAGTAAATATTTGATGACCATGTTTCAAGAGTCAGAAGTGTTAAATTCTTTCCCTAGATCTGATAACTGATTTTGGCAGTGACATAATTTCTGTGCCTCAGTTTTCCATCCAGTGAAATAAAGATGTTTACTAGCAATATTTTGAAGTCTAGAAAAAAGAAGTATTCCAAATGTGAAATGTTAATTTGCTAACATATAAATAAGTGAATTGACGGTTTTGTACCAATTCACATCAGATTAATTTGGAACAAATTTTGAGAAATACTTTTAAGATATACCTAGAAACTGTCCCTCTGGCTATAATATAGCTGTTTGACTCAATTAACACCTATAAATATACTGAGAAGGGGCACTTACTAATCTTTCTGTGGGTATTTCCAGGTGTGGCAATAGAGCATTTCCGATCCTCTGCAGTTGTTTTCCCTTTTGAGAGCTGAGAATTGAAGGAGGTATAGCACATCAACAGCAGTTCAGAACCTCAAAGTCATGGAACCCCTCATATTAAACGAAAAAAATAAAAAGAATGGGAGACAAAAATGAAATCAGATATCAAATAAAATAGCAACTTTAAAGAAACATCTCAAAAAAAGAAAGCCACTGTAAGATGAGAAGGTCTCCAAGTAAAAATATCGAGGCACAAGGAAAAAAACTCCCTACAGGTCAGCTGCCTTTCTCATGCTCAAGTCCATCTGAAACGGCTGTGTAGCACCCTAGAGGCATTCTTGGAGACTCAACTCAGGCTGCCTGCAGAATTGCTGGGTAAGAAGAAACTTCTCTTCCTTAAGCATACTCTCGTTAAGAAGGCAGGTTGAAGCTTCTGCCTCTACCCCACAGTGCACGGGCCCACGCCTGCAAAAGCCAGCCTGGAGGTAGAACTTAATTGGAGGTCTACTTTTAAAGGACCCACATCATGTCTCCTCAGAGCTAAGAAATATCAGGTTTAATTTCAGGACATGACAGTTCTGTCTCTGGAGAATTACTGGAGATGATATTAAAAAGAGCATCTCATATTCCTGTGAAGAAAAAAGGAAGTCAAAGTGGTGTGGCCACAGTCATTATGAGGTCTTACAGTGAATACTTAGAAAGCACCTCACCTCTAAAGCTCTTTTTAGAGAATCTATGCTTTCTTGGCTTGTAAAGATGCTCAATTTGGGGGGGGCTCTGAATTACATCATTCACTGAATTAGGAACCAGAAGATCCAGGTTCAAGTCCTGGTTCTGCCTTTTTAGTTGTGAATTATGAGGCAAATCGCTTAAACTCTGACCAAAGATTTCTTATCTGTAAAACTGAGATGATACTTATCCTAAGTATCTCTCAAAGAGGAGGCAAGATTTAAGACACAATGGATTTGAAAGAGCTTTAAGAACTGTAAAGGGTTTTAACGTAGACAATAAGATTTTCATTGATGTAAATAATTAAGATGATTCCACTTACCTTAAATAAAATGTATAGTATATATAAGAAAATCCCAAAACCATAGATTGGAATAATCTGTCCCATCAGGCCTCTTCCACTACCTCCTCCTCCAGCACCTCCACCCGATCCTTTGGCCTTTGCAAATGCCTCTGCAAGGTGAGACCTCTGGAAACGAGCCCCAGGAGTCTGGCCATCTGAGGGTGCCTGGTGATGATGCATCATGGGTGGGAATCGGCCCAACTTTCCTGAGAAAATAAATTAATCAGTTTTATCTCTTCTACTATTTTAATTTATTTTTTCTGCTACTATTTAAAATATGGCAATCATTGAAAGCACCCCATGCATTAAGACACAAATAACAGAAGCCAACTCATCAGTTGAAGAAAAAACAGAAATTCAATGAAAAGGACACAGAAGTATCACACAGATACTAAACACAAGGTGATATTTCTAGCAGTTTACCAAACTCATGTTCTCCTTCTGGGCCCATAGCTAGACTCCATCTTTCAGACTTCCATACAGTTAAATGTGGGCATGTGACTGAGTTCCAGCCAAAGGAATGTGAATGATTGCGCTAGTTCAAGGACTGGTCTAGACAATCTCCCATGTTATTCAACTCCATGATCATTTTCCTTTTGCAAAATGGAGGCTGACGCCCAGGGAGACCTTGGAAGTCATGTTTTCAAAATGGCAGAGACTCCATCAACCTGGGTTCTTGAATAACTATGAGGCGCAGAGTCCTCCACTGATGCCACCTGTTTATATGAGTGAGGAATAAACTTCTATTGTGTTAGTGTCTATCTGTTACAGCAGTTAGTCACTCCCAACACAGATAAGGAAATGCAATGTGGTCTCAGAAGAGAATAGAACCAGGAAACTGGAAATTCATCAGCATCCAGGATAGCTACTTTCACATCTAGCTCAGCCTCTCTCTCAATCTCTATGGAGCCATGAAGCGTTTTTTTTTTGTTTCTCTGTATACATCTTCTTTATTCTCCTTTCTCTGCAGATCATTTCCCTAACTTCTTTGTGCACACAGTAGAAGATGTTCACCGACAACCCAATTTGCAAGTTCTTTAAGAGGATAGCTGAGACATTCTAATTTCAAATTCCTTGGAGGAAGACTTTGAGTACTCAGCCTGGATAGGTATGTATCCCTTTCTAATCAGCTATAACTGAGTCAGAGGGGGTTCACATGGCACAAACAGTGTCAAAGGGACGCAATCTTGTGAGTGAAAGAGCAGGGCTTAGAGAAACAAGCCCTGCTTATTTTCTTGCATTTTTTTTCCACCATCAAGAGCAGAAGTTAACATCAACTGCCAAGCCAACTGAGAGCCATAGGTGAGAAAGAAAGGAAAGACATCTCTTCAAAAGGCCATGTTCAGGCTTGTATGAAAAACCACTGGGAAATAACACTATTGAAGAGAAAACACTAGAGAGTAGAAAGACTTCATAAATAAGACTCGAAAAATACAAACTATAAAGTAAAAAGTAGTTGGGTTTGACTTCAACAAAATTGGCAAAGATGTGCGGAGGCAAGAATTCTCATGCACTGTGGGTTTGAGTGTAAACTGATACAGCCATTCTGCTAAGTGGTACAGCTAAACTTAGTGACATTATATACAGGCCCTATGATCCAGTGATCCCACATTGGTGGATAAATCCCAGAGAAAACCTCAAAGAAGGTTATATATATGTGAATTTCAGACTTTACAGACCTGTGTGAGAACGTTTGCTGTGATGATGTTGTAGCAGAGAGCGTGAAGTAACTTTGATTCATCCTTAACTAAAGAATGAAAAATCAAAATGCAGTGAATACAAATATGGAATCATATATAGTTCTCAGAAACCACACTTTTTTCGATATACCCACAGCAACAAGAATACATCTTAAAAAGCATAATATTAAGTAAAAAAAAAAAAAAGCAAACACCATTAAGTTGAAGATACACATATAGCTATATTCTGTATCTTTCAAGCACAATATGTAGGTATAAAGACAAAACAAACACATTAGAGTAGGTGCATATGAGCAAAGAAGGGAATTGGCATGCAGATTGAGGATAAAAGGCTAAAAATAAAAGACCAAAACAAGAAAAGAACTTTGCATTGATAAAGTGCTATAAGCTGAGTACTATCTTTTAGTCAACTCTCTTACTCCTGAGTTAAGAAAGAAGAAGGGCAGACAGGCCTGGTAGCTGCTTTCTGCCTTATATTCTTTCTCAGGACATAATTCCACTCCAATTCAGATAAGAATCCAGCAGGAAGAGTTTCCAAAATGAAGGTCTCAAGTCAGCTGGATCCAACTGAGACCAAGATAGTGTTGAAAGTGACCTCACCTTGTTCTCCTTGCCTATTATAATGCATTATACCAAATGCCAGTTTACAATTACCATAGGAATTCCTGGAAGTCACCTTATATGGTTTAAAATGGAAGGAATTGTCTGTTCTGGGAACTCACTGCCCCTTTCCCTAAAAATCCATAAATAATGCTTAGCATATAATCAAGAGATAGTTATAAAAATAAAGCTTTAGCAATGTACGGCTGCTGTTCTTCCTATAGACCAGCCCAGGCTGCTCTGCCTATGTAATAACTTGTTCTATGTCATTTCAATAAACTTACTTTTATTTTCCAACAGAAAACTTCAGTGATGCACCTGGGCTGCTCTGCCGATGGGGTAGCCATTTTCCCATTTCTCTGTTTCTTTAATCAACTTGTTTTTTGTCTCCCACGTATGGCTCACACTTAAATCCCTTCCTGCACAAAACCAAGAACCCACTTGGCCTCTGAGGTCAAACCCCTATTCTGGGGTTTACCTGTCTCATCTTCCTTGGCAACCCTAATGGGGCCCCAACTTTAGAGTCCCCTGGCCTCTATCACAGTGATCTTCCTTTTCCTAACAAAACTGTCTTTGGCTCGGGGTCCCCAATCCCCAGGCCTGATCCATGGCCTGTCAGGAACCAGGCCACACAGCAGGAGGTGACTGGCAGGCAAGCAAAGTCAAGCTTCATATGTATTTACAATCACTCCCCATCAAGTGCATTACCACCTGAGCTCCACGATCTGTCAGATCAGTGGTGGCATTAGATTCTCATAGGAGCACAAACCCTAATATGAACTGCACTCAAGGGATCTAGGTTGTGTACTCCTTATGAGAATCTAATGCTTGATGATCTGAAGTGTCACTGTATCCCAACACTCCCAGATGAGACAGTCTAATTGTAGGAAAAAAAGCTCAGGGCTCCTACTGATTCTGCATTATGGTGAAGTGTATAATTAGTTCATTATATATCACAATGTAATCATAATAGAAATAAAGTGTACAATAAATGTAATGTGCTTAAATCACCCTGAAACCCTCTCCCTCTCCCCCACCTCAGTCCATGAAAAAGCTGTCTTCCATGAAACCAGTTCCTAGTGCCAAAAAGGTTTGGGGACTACTGCTTTGGATAACATGAAAATTATGGGCAGAAATGTTTCCTTTTAAAAGCCGGGTTCAGTGGCTCAGCCTGTAATCCCAGCACTTTGGGAGGCTGAGGTGAGTGGATTGCCTGAGCCCGCGGGTTCGAGGCCCGCCTGGGCAACTTGGTGAGACCTCATCTCTACAATAAAATAAAAATTAGCTGGGCGTGGTAGCGCACGCCTGTAGTTCCAGCTACTTGGAAGGCTGAGGCGGAAGGATCGCCGGAGCCCATCAGGTTGAGGCTGCGGTGGCCGGAAGCGGCCACTGCACTCCAGTCTGGGTGACAGAGTGAGACTCCAACTCAAAAAAAAAAAAAAAAAAAGTGGGTCAGTAATAGAAGCACAGCTTTAGACAGTAAAAGAAGGAAACCACTAGGTCACCATCCTTTATTCAGGGTGCTGGTGACTATGTGTCTTTTAAATTGTCAAGGATCTTAATATATTGAATAATTAGTGTTGGCTTTAAGGCTATTATTTACCTTCAAAAAAATGCCTAGTCAGCATCCAGAAAGCTAACCTTTCTTTTAAGAAAATCTAATATAGTAGGCGGCTAGTGGTCAATAAACTAGAGTTATTATTTGTAGTAATATGTTGTTGAACTTCATTTTCCTGTGCTGGGAACACTGTCTTCAAAATTAGCATAAAACAAAAAATTAAAGATTAAACCCAGGTAATGAATATAAAAGGCACTATTTTGCATTTCTAAAATGGAAAAATGATGATGATGCTAAACATTACATACCTCCCCTCAAAATTTTTATAGATCTGTCAGCCAGGAAGATTTATTGGATGCCTATTATGTTCAGGACGCTGCCAAAGGTAAGAAAGGAGGACAGCCATAAATAAAATAGAAAAAATACTTTCCACATGGAAAAATGCTTTCAAAAGCAGTATCTAAAACAAAGACACAAACAACAACAACAATGGCAGGGCATCAAGAACCTTATCACTAGACAAACTAAATGATTAAGTATTGAAAGATACAAAATTTAAGAGTGAAAGAAGAGTCAAATGGATTAATCACTGAAGGGAATGAAAGATGCAGAAGAGAAGAAAAGCAAAAGCACACCAGGAGGAAAGAAGATTGTGAACAAAGAAACCATTAAACACGGCTAACTACCAAATTAGTTTGGCTCTACTTAGGGAAGTAACAAGAAATAAGGGGAAGGAAGCTGGAGATGGGGAGGAGTTAAAATGCTAACTTGTATGGAGTATAAATTTGATATGGTGGACCTTGGATCAAGGGAATGACTTAATGAGAAGGGTGCTTGAAGGGGATTAAAATAGCAGTTGCCTATAGGGGTCCATAGACAGAAAATAGGGTCTGGGAAAACAGCAAAAACGCTATTCTAGTAATTTAGCTCTGAGATTCAAGTGCCTAAGGTGGTGGCTATAGCTATAAAATGGAAAGGACGGGTCCGACAGCTATTACCATGTAATCAGCAGCATTTAATACAGAACAAAATTTAGAGTTAGTAAAGGAGGAATCAGAAAACTCCAAGAGTTTAACATACTAAGAGAAGATAATAAAGAAACTATGAGGGCTTATGTTTAGGGAACAAATGAGTACACATTTTTCATGCCTGACACAGAGAAAAATTTGATTACACTGCAGTTAGGCTTAAGAAACACTACATTACCTAAATGATGTATGTGTTCTGCCTGACAATTTTTTAAAAATTTAAAAATAACCTACCTAAATGACAAAGCTAATTAAAATTAAGTGAGTGAATGGTTCCCAATACCAAAAAGATTGGAGGAATATGTGTACTTATTATTAAT